GGAGAACCTAGACAGAACCTGGCTGGAGATCCAAGAGAGAACCTGGCTGGAGTTCCTAACCAGAACTTTGCTGGAGATCCTGACCAGAACTTGGCTGGAGTTCCTGGCTAGAGATCCTGGCTAGGCTGCTGATCAACTGAATGCTGTCTCCGTGTCATTCCTTCTTTGCCGACTCCGTCCACACCTTTGGGGACCCCTGGACCCGTTGGGGTTGGACCCCAACAATTTCCCTTGTAAACATTGAAAAAAATATTGGCATTATTTTCTTTAAAATTTTTTTTTAGACTTATTAATAGTTGCAAAAAATGGTATAGAGAATTCCTGAAATATTTTCCAAACTATAGTACAGTTGTCAAAACTAATAGATTAACATTGGTACAATGCTGTGACACTGTTAACTAAACTGTAGACTTACTAGGATTTCACTGGTTTTCACCATCCTTTTTCTGTTCACAATGTGGTCTAGGATGTCTTGTTGCATTTGATTGTTATACATCCTTAGTTTCCTCCAATCTGTGACAATGGCTCAACTTTCTGTTGTTTCTCATGACCTTGACACTCGTGAAGAATACTGATCAGTTATTTTATATAATGTCCCTCCTGATGTTTTCCCATGATTAGATTGAGGTTTCTGGCATTTTGGGAAAAAAATAGCAGAAAATTCCAGTGAATTTATCCAGGGTACATGACATCTCATTACTGATGTTAACCTTGCCAGGTTCCCAATAGAAAGTAGATTATCTTGGGAGAGAAACTTGGAGTATGCAAATATCCTGTTTCTGCTCGAACTTAAACTTGGATTATGCTAATATCGTGTTTCTCCTTAAGGTTTTATTCACTGATTTTAGTATCCATTGGCAGAACTGGGTATACATTGTACTTTGTTGTTCTAATGGTAATTTGAAAAAAAATTCTTCTCATTCCTTCTATGTTTACTAATTAGAATTCTTTTATACAGAACAGCTGTCTGGTATCAGGACCTACTCATGATTACTTATTTTATTAGATGGGTTATAATTCAATACTATTGTTATTTAATTTGCTGCTCAAATTATTCCAGCTTTGGCCACTGGGACCTCTTCTTTCAGGTTGGTCCCTGCCTCCTTTTGAAATAACCACCATTCTTCCTCTCCCCGCTCTTTTAAAGCAGAATGTACCAGACTCATTTTGCATTTTCTATACCCCAAACCTGGAATCAGCCATTCCTCCAAGACACTCACTCTGGTCCCTCCCTCCCTCCCTCCCTTCCTTCCTTCCTTC